TGGCCTGACTTCAAAATGAGTGTGTGAGATCAACCGATTATCCTTTTGAATACTTCACCTTTGATTATGGATAATATATCCACCAGGCTGATACTTGACCATTTAAAATCTAGTCAAGTAAATGTTTTTTAAAATAAGTCCTTATTTTAGAAATCTGCTTTCATTTCCATTAAATGTCATTGTTTTGATTATCTTGCTCTATGAATATTAATATTACTCATATATGCTGACCACAATTTATAGATGTTTCTCATAATGGGATGAAAGAGAGATTTGGGTTTAACAGAAACTATGTTGTAAATATAAGTCATGGGTGATATGGAGATCTAGCTTAGATTAGCACCTCTCGCTGTGCTTCATGGATTGATGTGGGACTGCCGAGACACAGATCCTGGGTACAAAGCCCTTTTTATTCATCTTCTAATGTTTGTGCTGTTGCCTGGTGTTGGCTGCGTCATACAGGAGTTCCAGGGAAGGTGGCTGTCTGTCTCCTGGGAAACCTGTCAGTTTGTCCCGCTTTGTTGGGGTCCCAGTGTTCTGCTGTTCCTGCCAGACTGAATTGTGAACTAATGCTAATGGCATTACCCGTTCATGCAGCGCTTATACACTCTTTTAGATGACTGTAGGGTCAGACTCCAGACTGTTTGAAAATTTGCCGATTGCTCTACAAGCATTTGATATGCAATTTGACATGTTTTACAGGTGGTGTCTTCATGGCATCTGTTAAATCAGTCCTTTTTTTTCAACTCTCCTGCATTTTATTTGGTCGACTGTTTTGTGCATTTAAAGTCTCATCTTTAAAGTTCCCACCAGGGCACGTGGACATTTGCTTAAAATACCCTACCTTTGCCAACTCTGTATCCATAAAGTCAGCCTGTAGAAGCGTGCCAAGTATCTGAGAGCTGAAAGGGATTTTACCTAGACTAGAGCAGCACCTATAGTCTTGAGAAATGAGGTCATGGAGGAGGGAGAGACTTACCAAAGGTTTCACTGTCCCTTGAGTCTCCACCTGGCCTGGGTGGCTGGATCTGGCTCAGTCTTTAAATCCATCTGTCCCTGACTCTTCCTGTGTCTCTGCCTTACTCTCGCTCTGCCACTGCATTTATTCCCTGAAAGAGGCTGAAATGCCAGGCCTGGGGCTGCACTGTCTGCAAATGGGTGCTGCTCTCAGATATGTATGTGTGTTTATGTGAACCAGCGGGGCTTTTGCTGTCAATGCACCACTAGCCGACCCCCTTTGGTGTGCGTCAGAGTGAGCATCAGCAGCCGAGGGCCACACTGATTGATCTGACTAATCAATTGTGGACTCTGTCCACTAGAGGACATTGCCAGGGTGTGAGGGACCAACGGGGCACAGTTTTTGCGGTACCCTTTATTCCCACTTAATTTTTCTAGGTACTGGAAGTCTTTTTGTCCATAATTTCTCCACTTTTAATAACAAGTTACCATTTCTTTGCTTCTTTTAAGTTGCTACACTATCTGTTTATGGTCCATGTTTCTCATTAGATGCGACTGCTGTTATAGGTTTGCCCCTCCCCTAAGCGACCAGGTCCCTATTTGGATCAATGTAGTGCGCATGTTTGTGTATGTGCTTGCGTTTTAGGTGTGTGTGTTCCACTTGAGGGTGAGTGGAATGGCACTGTGTACAGAATAAATATTGATACAAACGGAGCATGAGGGGGATTGATTTACCAGGGTGATGTCCGCACAGTGGAGTCGCAGAAATCGAGGGCTTTAGATCGGCATTCAGCACTCGAGGAAGAGCAGGAACAGCAGACTGAATCATTGGCCACACTTGGAGACAAAAGCAGCATTGGAAGCACACCTGTAGCTCTTAGCTAAAGTGGATGTGAGGGTCAGAGGTGTAGGGCTATGAGCCTGATGCTGTGAGGAAGAGGAGAAAGGAGGAACTGTCTCTAAAGGCCCATGTGTGACCGAAAAAGCTCGAAGAGGCATGGTGGGAAGTGGGAATCTCGTTCTTCAGGAGGATCAGTGGAGGGAGGAGGGGGAGGTAGTAGTGGTGGTGGTGAAGGAGGAGTGGAGGGTCCCACGCTCCTAGTGGATGGTAAGGGCACGGCTAACTTTGTGTGGGAATTGGTCATTTCCCTCCAGTAGTCATGGCACCCATTTGTTAGGGAAGCCAGCACAAAGGCAAGGATCATTCATATCCTGAGCCATTTATGAAATTGCAGCAGGGCTATTTTTACGCATATGGCTGTTGTAATTATTTGATTTTTCTTTAGGGTTGTTTGCATGGCGTAGCGGCTGAGGCCTGACCTTTGTTTTGAATCTGTTTCGAGCACCATTTGTTGCATAGTTTTATAGAGCCGTTGGATCAGCATCAAGTTTAGGTGAACTTCGGAGACTGTCCTCTCCCCTGCCTCTATCTTCTACTGTAGTTCCTCTACAGATTATCTAAACGAAGTAGAAATATGACCCTGGAGTGTGTGCAGTCCCATCAACCACTGCTTTTGTGAGAGAGACACTCCTGAATCTCTCTCCGAGATAATAAGGCAGGGGAATTAACGGGAAGTTGTGGGGTGAAGCTTTTGCTCTCTCTCTGGCTCTGCCCAGAGCCTGAAGATTGGAGATAATGGCAGTAGATTTGAGCGTGACTAACCTCGCTCTACAGCGTCTGCCTCTTTCACCACAGAATGAGATCGTTTAATGCTCCTACTTCGGATTTAAAGCATTGCACTTTGGAAATGCTTCCTGTGGGTGTGTCCTGCAGTAGAGTCCTCAATGGCAGCAATCGCACTGCGTTTCTTTGTATGTCTCCTCTGGGCGCAGCAGTTGCAACCGTTGGATCTTCTCAGCTGCTGTGACAGCTTGCATTTCCCCAGAGGGAGCGCTGGTAGTGTGGAATGAGGAAGAGTCTGTAATCTGAACATTCCCACACAACTCTATAAAGAAAATAGAGGGGAAAGTAGGCCTAGTTCTTCATTGGTGTGCTCGCCTGATTTCTGACTTGATTCTTTCTCGCTGTTTCTGAAGCAGAAATTATGATGCTGTGACTTTTCTCACATACGTACACACGCACACACACACAGAGCGAGAGAAATATAAAGTGACAGAGAGTCAGTGGATATTGATTTGGGTCTAAGCTGTTGTTCTGTCATGGTGGGCTCAGGAAGTATTAGATAACATGAGCCCAGTCAATGTGGTTTTAACAACAGTGGAAATTAGAACACGCCTTACCTCGAACAGCCAATGAGAATGATTGCCACAGGCTCTAAACACACAACAAACATGATGGAAAAACGGAAGTGGCCAATACTGTGGGGACCACAGTTTTGAGTTTGTTTGTGTTGTTTTGTGGTAGGGAACTTAAATTTATATATAATGGAGATTCACTTTTGCATTATTCCCAACATAACAATGCTGAATGTGTGTATATATAAACAGTTAATACTTGAATTTGCTTTGGAAGTTAAAGGGATAGTTTGCCCAAAAATGGCAATTCAGTCATTTACTCACTTTTACTAATACTAGCACTTACCTATTCTATTCTGTTCTATTCCATTCTATTATTTAATAATAATAATAAAAATTTTAAAAAACCTAGCTACGTGTACTGTGCTAGACTAACTGAGACTTGTCATGGCACTTGTATACTGTTGTTCTCTCGTTGGTCTGATTGCGTCTATTGTTCTCATTTGTAAGTCGCTTTGGATAAAAGCGTCTGCTAAATGATTAAGTGTAAATGTAAGTTGTTCCAAACCTCCGCGTTTCTTTTTTCTGTTGAGCATTAAAGAAGATATTTTGAAAAATGTTGGTAACTGAACAGTTGACCGTAGCCATCAATATCCATAGTATGGAGAGAATTCTTTTTTTATCATCTTGGCAGAATAGATTTGCTACGCTGCTGAATTGCTGTTGATTATGTTTCTTTTGCTGCAAAGCAAGTACAGGAACTAGGGCTAGCTACTGCCAGTACATACGCCGATACGGTACTGTAGGTATTTAAGACATACTGCTGCTGCACAAGTAGCATATATAATAACCCCTAGCAGATTTAGAAAGGTGGAGCTGGGGAGGGTGGGGTGTTTCAGAGGAACTCTGAAAGCGCTCTGCGAAATGCTCTGGTGAATGCTAACCAGCCATTTAAATGTAAAGCAGCAAGCTCATTGGCTGCGTATGCAACATGAACCAATCAGCTTGTGCAGAGTAGTTTAATGCTGTGAATATCATCAGTTTGCATTAACGACCCATCAGCCTGCACCATCTAGAGTTTCATGACAGAGCATATATACTGTGGAAATCAATGGCTACTGTTTGGTTACCAATATTCTATAAAATATCTTCTTTTGTGCTCAACAAAAGAAAGAAACTTGTGCAGGTTTCGAGGGGTGAGTAATTGACAGAATTGCCATTTTTGGGTGAACTGTCCCTTTAAATTACATGTGTATATATGCCCACACAGAGTCCGTCTGTAGAATTCCGCTGATTTATACTTTAATCAGCAATAAAAATTATTATTATTTTTTTTAAATGCTGGAATGCCTATTGCTGAAATTGTAAAAGAAATTTGGTCATTTTTTTAATGTACTACAATACAGTATAATAAAAAGCACAACTGAGAATGAGAATCATTTTATTTCAGTGTGAAATGTTTTCAGGAGATTAACTTTGTGTACATACAGTCGTGACGTGTGGAAAAAGTAGTAGTTCTCAGCAGTCTTCCCAGGCATTTCTGCAGCTCATACGCAGCACAGCTAACGAAATGTCGTAAATTGCTGTCATAAATAAGGGTAGACCAGCAACTCTGGACTTTAATGTGTTGTAGGGGCTGTAAAAGGTTGATGTTGACTGCCATACAGCCATGCCTGTTTTTACATATCGTACTTGTTGACATTTTAACAGATTCTAATGGCAATATCTCATCAGATTTTTTGTTTTGTTTTCGTTTTTAGTACATTAGCATGTCTCTAAGTGCAATGTTGTTCTGTTGTGCACATAAATAATAACACGCACATTATTTCTGCCTTTTTCGTTTTCAGTTAAGGAGTTTCTTGCTAAAGCCAAAGAAGAGTTCCTAAAGAAATGGGAGAACCCAGCACAGGTCAGTTAATCCCATTTTCTGCACTGCATACAATCACTTTGTCAACCAATGAGCTAATGAGAGTTGCATTGCTCCCCCTTCTGGACACAAGGTGAACTGACCTGCTGTTTGTTTTTCTCTTTAACCTGTGATTTTTCAGTAGTAGACAGCTTTTGTACTAGAGACCCTGAGGAAGTAATAAAAGTACAATTTGATGTATAATGAATGTGATATATTTGCTGTATTTCATCACATTTCTGAAAATCATACCTTAAACTGTAGATGTTGTTAGTGAACATTCAGATAATAAGCGAAATAATCAGTCATGTAAGTTTGACTGTGCTCCAGATAAACCATACAGGAACAGTCACATGTGTCTTTGAAAAAATAAAAACAACATGTATTTACCAACCATTTTCATCTTCTGTTCCTCTATATACTTTATTCTGTTCCTCAGAATACTGCATCTCTGGACCATTTTGAGAGGTTGAAGACTCTAGGCACTGGCTCGTTTGGACGAGTCATGCTAGTCAAGCACAAAGAGTCAGGCCAGCATTTTGCCATGAAGATCCTCGACAAACAGAAGGTAAGCCACTCTCAGAGGAATCGGCGCTGAAAGGTGTGTGTCTGTGTGTTGGAGCTCATTTTCTCGTGTCTTTCAGGTGGTTAAACTGAAACAGATAGAACACACACTGAATGAGAAACGCATCCTGCAGGCCGTCAGCTTCCCATTCCTTGTGCGATTGGAGCACTCGTTCAAGGTACCAGCTCTGTGTGTGTGTGTGTGTGTATATGTATACTTGCATGATTTGGACAAGGATGATACAGCAAAAAATATATATATCTTAGTCTTTCAGCCTTTAGATGAGTTTCGGGTCATTAAGATGTTTTTTAAAGATATTTATATTTTTATTCAGCAAGCACACGTTAAATTGATCAAAAGCAAGACAGTAAAGACATAATGCAATTTTATTTAACTTTCCATTCATCAGAGAATCCTGAAAATAAATATATCAGGTTTCCACAAAAATATTAAGCTGTTTTAAACATTTATAATAATAATAAAGGTTTCTTGCGCAGCAAATCAGCATATTAGAATGATTTCTGAAGGATCATGTGACACTGAAGACTGGAGTAATGATTCTGAAAATTCAGCTTTGAACACAGGAATAAATTACATTTTAAAATATATTTAAATAGAAAACCGTTATTTTAATCATAATAATGTTTCACAATATTACTGTTTTACTATATTTTTGATTTAAGCCTTCATGAATATCTCAATGGTTTTGTGCTCTTTTCTTTTGTGTGTTCTGTTCTTAGGACAATACTAACCTGTATATGGTAATGGAGTATGTTCCTGGAGGAGAGATGTTCTCTCACTTACGTAGAATCGGACGGTTTAGGTGAGTTTTTTTTTTCTTCTTCTCTATTTATATTGCACTAGCTGCGTGAGCTTACTCCAACCAGGCTTATTATACTTGTGGAAATTTGTGTTACTTTAGTGTTTTTAATTTCATTTATAGCTATTTATTGTTGTTTTCGACTATTTTTAGTGTCGTATTACAAATTGTGCCACATCATCTATATGATGACACACAATTTCGAAACGGCCTCATACTCAAAATAATACTAGATTAGAGACTTATTAGTCAAATCTAGAGCAGTGCTGCATTCTTGCTGACACTGATTTCAGTCATTTTTGCAATAAATATTACGTAACTACTACTGGCTACATTGACTAACTTCCTTGAGCTGCAGTGTCAAATTTAGACGGGGAACATTGAGGCCAAATTGTCACTCGCCAAACATTTAAAATGTATTCATAGTTTCATAGTTTGAAGGCACTTTATAGCAAGTCTAAAAGATTCAAAACATTCATTGTTGTCTGTGCAGAGACTGCAGCACTGACTGATGCTTTGAATAAGTGATATTGGATGTTACACCAGACTGGGAATCAAGCTGAATTTCCTGAGTCAGATTCACAAGTTATTCATTTATTTCTACTTTTGCTTCAGATATTTCAATTACCATTTGAACTGGCCTGTTTAAATTATTATCATTTATATAATCGCCTAAAACATAGCATAACTAGGGATGCTCCGATCCGCCTTTTTTGCCTCCGATACCTAGGGTTCGGTATTGGCCGATACCGATCCGATACCAGTTAAGTTTTTTTCCCTCATTTAAATAAATGTAGAATTTATATATCTCTGTGTG